AGTGTCTCCTGATCTTCCTGTCGGAGAAGCTGAAGATTCGAGTTGATCTATGCGCAATTGAGAAACAGGAGGCATGTTAGGTTTTTAACTCTTTGTGCCCTTTTTTTTCTTTCAGTGCAAAGTCAACGGATGCAAAAGCGTTATCCTTTTACCTCGCCTATGTTCTGATCTTTGGGCGCCCAAGTGTTCAAGATGACGCTCCCTCCAGTCTGGTGGTCTCCCGCTGCAACGTGTACCGAAAACTATTACAAAAAAAAACAAAGCAGAGCAAATTAGTTCACTGACGTTTTCCTCCTTCCTCGGAACTCTTCCAGTATGATTTTGAAGGCGTTAAATAAACTTGGAGAGTACCTGAGGAACCTGTGTGAAAGGGGTGAGGTCCAAGGTGACGCGTGAGAAGTGCAGGGCGGCATTCATAAAACTCGTCCACATGGAACATGGCTCTAGGTCAAAGTCATCTTCGTCTATAAGAATGTCGAGAATGAAAATGTTCATGTTAGACAATTGTCGATTTCAATGCGTCCAGTTGTATTCATGCCCGAAATGTCGTTTGGCAATGCGTTTTTTGTGTGTAGGCTTGAGCGAGAATGCGTGTGCGAGTTGAGTACCATCGCTTTCGTCACCGCTGCTTGTCTTTGAGGGGACAAAGCAGGGTTTCTGGCGTGCGAGAGGACTATGGTCCAGGAGGAAGATGGTTCTCTGTAAGTTCATTCCTTCCTGGTAGAGAGACGGAGCGAAAAAGAGCAAAAAAAAAGGCGTTGTTGGGCGAGAGTCGAGGTCGTTTTTAACTGCAGGCAAAAGAGTGGAAACAAAGGGACACACACCACCACTCGCATCAGGGAAAGTGAATCGAAGCAAAAGAAAGTCAAAGCCCGTCCTGTATGTGGCTTTGCTCGTCAATCTCACTAATTTGCGAGAACCACTCCTAGTTCGTTTTTACGTCTTTTGTGCAACTTTTTTTATTATTATTGCGAAGTTCGCTCTATGTACAGCCGTCTAACGTGTGGGTTGGTGTGTGTTTGGTGCTTGTGTGCTTGTGTTGTTTTGTTCTTGAAAAAATTCATGTCCATGTGTGGATAAATAACGAGGACATCACCACAGGTTACTGCGGCCAAGGGAAAAAAAAGAAAAAAAACAGAGAGGAGAAGAAGGGTTTGGTCGAGGATGGAAGATCAATAACGCCTCCAGTTGATGAGTTGGAAGTACAACATTTACTTCTTTCCAAAGGTCAAGGGCGAACCAATATCCTTGCCACGAAGCTTAACGCCCAAAGCACGCTCGATCTTTCCAAGAATCTGCTGGTTGGGGACAGCACGTCCAGCCTCGTAGTCGTTGATCTGATCAAAAGAAGAAAGAGAAAAGGGAAGGTAGCACAGCGGTTAGTTTGTGTGATGACAAGCAGAGGTAAGATAGTGAACGGTTAAAAAAAAGGTACAAAGGAGGTCCAAAGGGGGGGAAGGGGTGTATAGATAAGAGAAAGAAGGGAGGAAGGGGCCAAAGGTCGGGGTGCAATCAAGCAAGGAGAGGGAAAGAAAGAGACAAAAGGGCAAGACGGCAAAGAATAATAACCAAAAGCTGAATGTTGTGATTGTTTGGTGTGTTGTGGTCATCCAAGACAAAAATAACAAATCGAAGGACAAGGAAAAGAAAAAAATACTTACGACAGTCTGCTTCTCGTTGACCTTGACACCGAGATCCTTCTGGTTCATCTTCAACTCAATACGGGCCTTGGCGATGGCCTTTCCGACATCCATCGAGACGGCCTTGGGGGCAACAATCTCATCAGTCTCGGCGAGCTTGGCAATGCGACGGAAATCCTCACCGACATGTCCAGCGTTGGTGACGACCTTGCGCTCGGTCGAGACGACGGCACCGGCACGGCGGGCAGCATTGATGTCGGAGGAGGAGCGGGTGACCTTGGCGTGATCAGAGCGCTTGCGAAGAACGATCTCGTCGTCCCATCCAATGTTTCCAGACATGTTGATTAAAAAGTGTTGTTGGGGGGAAAGGTGAAAAAAAGTGTGTGATGAAGAAAAGGTGAAATGGAGTAGCCCAGTCTTTTATGTTTGGCGAAAGAAGGCATTGGAACAAATGGCTCATGCGCACGTGACTCACACCCACTAATTGGCTAAAATGACCTCACATTCATTGGTGGCAAACTGCGGTTCTTATTGTACAAGGGGGATGGAGAGAGGAAGATAGCTGTTGCTAAAGACGTTCAGATCTCGAGGGCATTCACTTCGTCAGCAGACTCTTTGTAGGCCAGCCCAAGCTGTGTGTACACCTGGTTGTCCTTCAACATCTGCGCTTGATTCCTGAGAAACATTATCCTGTCGCGATCGTACTTGATAGTCGTCAATTGGCATTTCTTGATTGTTCCTAGAAAACAGAGTGTGATAAAAAAGTTGTCAATAGTCCGTTGTCGATCCCAATTGTAATTACAGCAATAAGCATCCGCCAGGCAAAGCTGCGAATGGTAATAGTCTTACCAGAGGTATGAATGACTTTGATGATACAAGGACGCCCCTTCAACTCCTTGATGAATGTCAATGCTCCCCAAACAATATGCATTTCCTCTCTTGATATCCTGAGAATCCCCACATTCGTATGCGGAGAAAAGTATTTCACTAGGACGTCCAGCAGCAGGGTAAACAAAAGTCGCCGTTAGTTTCTAGTCAATTGTTGTAGTCATACAGCGAATTGAACCTCTTGAAATCATGTAGAGACAAAAAAGGCGAATACTCACGAGTAAGAGGTCTCTGAGTGAGCCCTCCGCCATAGTCGCCAAAGTTTTCTGTTATTGAGTCCTTGAGCGCAAACACAAGGTCCTTGTTGGCGAGCGGTGGTAACCGACAGTTATGTCTACCCGTGTCGCCAAATGGATTCTGATCAGCTGCCTCTCCTGGTTGACTGGCGTTGGCTAATGCCAAACTGGTTGCCCCTGGGATGGTGGTCCATCCTAGTGGTGTGTCGGCATAGACGATTTCGAAGAGCAGGTACCGGTTCTTGAAACGCACCATTGTCCGTGTGTGTGTTGGGTGATGTCGAGAGGAGCTTTTGTGCTTGCTGTGTGTGGGTACCGAAGGCACAAAATACTTTTTCAAGTCTCCAAAGCACGTCACATTGAGAGGAAATACAGCAAATCTCTTTATTTCCAAACCCTGTTCCTGTTGTGCCTCGGTTGTTTTGGGAGATCAACCTCGCCCAAGCTCCCCTTTCCCTTCTACACCCTACTCTCTTCACTCCATTAACCTCATTTCGACATGTTCGGTCTTCGCACAGTCCTGCCTGGAGCACGCTCCCTGGGTAAATACTCGGCTCATGTGCTGTCAACCTCCAATGGGATCACGGAAACAATCATACTTCAACAAACAACCGCGGATCAAAAAAAATAGTCTTTGTCAATCGGAGCACGGAAACTGATCGGACCTACTACTGCCACCAAATAAAACCAGTGGCAGTGACTAGGGCGATTACTCATTCAGGGACACCCCTCCCATGAATGTTCACTCACTCTGAGTATTAACCTATACTTTTATTTTTATTTCAATTACAAACAGTTGCATCGACAAAGTTGACTCCCACCAACGCATTCCACACATCGGCCTCGGCCCTCGCCAGACCTCGTCGATCCAGGAAGGACATTGTCATTCAGATCCGCAAAACCAACCTTCAGAAGCAGGAGCAGAAGCGCATTGACTTTGAAGCCTCGACCCCAGATTATATCATTGGAAAGCAGACCGAGTTCACACAATCTCTCCTCCGACCCCAATCCGTCTTCCAGGCTCCCCTTGCCGCCATCAAACCTGCCACCTCTTCCGACGCCACCAACAGCGATGAGGATACCACAAAGACATCTGGTTTTGCCTTCTCGACCTCATCATCATCACCCTCCATCTTTTCGTCGTCCAGAACTCCTCTTGTTGTGTCAACCTCGAACCCTTCGGGATACCAGCACTTTTTGACCGGACAGGAGGCTGATCTGATTTTTGAGAAGGTGCCCCATGTCCAAGTCCAGGAACTGATGGTCCGTTCGACCCTCGTCAACGAGAAGCTCCAGCTCCCCATTGAGCAACAGAAGGCTGAGCTCGTGCGCCGTATCACTGCTCTCGAGAACGGAAACGCAAAACAGGTCACATTGGAGAACGTCAGGAGGGCCAGGGAAGCATTCCAGCGTGCCGAAGGTGATACCGGAAGCCCTGAAGTTCAAGGTACATTTCATATACGACTTGTGGTATTACCGGATTGGAGACGATATCATTGAAGGCGATGTTGCAAAGAAGAGAAAGGAGAGCGTCAATACCATGGAACAGTGCTGCTGAACAAAGCTGCGACCTGACATTAACATTTTCTCTGGTTTTGTTTTCTCAATCCATAATGCCCCATCGTAGCCGCTGTGATGACTGTCAGGATCCAGAACTTGCACAACCACATTATCAACAACAAGAAGGACAAGCACAACTACCGTCGCCTCCGCATGTTGATCCATCAGCGCCAGACTGTCCTCAAATACCTCAAGAAGACCTACCCCGAGCGCTACCACGTCTGCCTCGATCGCCTCGGTCTCGAGCCCCGTGCCATCGAGGACGAGATCGTTGTCTAAGTTCACTTTGGGTATGAAAGAAAACAATCAGGAGACAAGTTTGAGGGACTAGGAAGCATTTTTATTATATTTTTCGTTTGCATTAAAAACAAGATAGACCGTCGTATTCATTCATTCTTTTCGGTGCGATTGAACAATGATGCTGTTGCGGTAGTTTTGGTTTTACTCAATGGGTAGTGGAGAAATAATATGCATTTTTGGTGGTACAATTGAACAAGAAAGCAGAATAGATCTTGACTGCAAAAAAGAGGCATCTTTGTTTTTCGTTCTCTGATCAAGATAGTGTCAAAATATGAACTACACCAAGATACCCCATCAATTGTCTAGGTATTTGAAGCAAAAAAGGCAATGCCAACAACCCCATTTGGGCCTGGGGCTGGCAAAAGCAAAAGATAAGCTCCCTGGCGGGGAATTGAACCCCGGTCTTCCGCGTGACAGGCGGAGATACTAACCACTATACTACCAAGGAAAGAAGCTTGATGAAATGATAGGGATTTACACATTTTTATTCTACCTCCATCATTTCGCCACGCCACCAACTCAACCCCGTCTAATTGCAAGCCCTCTTTTATTGCACATTTTTATTTTACGGGACTGCGACTAGTGCATGGGGTTTGGAAGAGTTCGTTACTTAGCTCCCCTATTACTATCGAATGCCTACTTATTCCTGTTTAGAGAAAAAAAAAAAAAAACATTTTTATTTTTCCACCCTTTCCCGCGCCTTTATTTTGGCACTTTACCAAGGAAAAGATTCAGGAACACGTATGCGAGTATCTGGGCGGTGCTTTGGCAGATTGTGGAATCTCGGCCAGGCGGGGTTGAGGTGGAGTGGATCAAGGGATACAGCAACATTCATGGAAATGAACTTGCAGACCAGGCGGCAAAGGTGGCAGCACAGAGTGGCACGGTGCCCATGGTGGTTGATCTCACCCAACAGTCGGATATCAGGAATCTCGCTCATTGTTACGGCGGACTGGTTGAAATCGATCTACGACAGCTGCTTAAACAACAAACGACAATCCGTCACCATCAGGCCTGGACAGCGCAGAGAAGGGTAAAAGGGCGATACCAGATATCGATGACGTGGAATGGACCTCGACTTTGGCCCATGTCCATGATAGGCGTGCTGTTTTCACCTTTTACAGCAACAGCAAGGACACCCAACAACGCACTCATCACATCAAAAAACTGCATGGAATGCTGCCCACTCTAAATTCAATGCAGGCTCGCAAGCCCAACCTGTACCCAACATGCCTGTGTCGACGATGTGAGCTTGTACAGGAGGACAACAACCATGTCTGGAATTGTTCCTTGGCAACAGAGACCACCACTGCGATCTGGAAGGAAGCCATAGGTATGATGGACGAGTGGGGTT